TAAAAGCCCCTGCCTGCTATTGTTCAGGGCCGGATGCCATCTTTGGCTCGTGCAGTGCAGTCTGTGCCCAGCTAGCTGCCATTCGGTTGTTTTTACTTTAAATTCCTGAATAAACTTTTTGTACAATCTTCTTGGTATCTGTGGGAATTAGTCTCGGTTCTTGAACCCTAACAAGAGGCAGCAAAGATGGCAGTGGGGTTGGGGTGGGGGATGCCTGAGTAGGGACTTAGTAATATATAGTGGGGTGTTTAGGTAGTCTGGGTTAGGAAGCTAGTTCAGGTATCTAAGGCAGAGGAATTGGGGCCTGCCTAGGTCCAAGGCTGGCAGGGGACCTAGACATTTCTTGATGGTGATGCTGTATGCCATTTCTGATAGTTTAATGCTGTCTAAAGGTTCGATTCTCCTTGAAAAGAAAGGTTGATGATAAAGTCTTGCATCCCAGCCATCATAATGTGAGCAATAGTGTGACTCTAACTGAAAAAACACTATTTGAAAACACAAACTAATACTTTTGTCTTTCAACTATTCATTTAAATTTCTTTTCAAAACCATTAATTAAAAAAAACCTAGAAATGCCCAGTGAGAGGTGTTTTTCCAAATATTTATTGGTTCAAACATTAAGCAAATTCATTATCTATGATAAATATGGAGTGAAACTTTATGGGGTAGGCAAAGTTTCATTATGTTTGGTGTTACAAAAGCTTTGCTTTCAATAAAGTAAGTGAAAACATAAAACTACCAAGAATTTAAACAATTCCTCCAACTCAGAAAAAAATTAGCAAAAGAGTCTCTGAGTTATGGTAGGAAAAGCTAATTGATGTGAGCTACTCTCAGTGTCTCAGGTTAGTATTTAGAAATCTGAAACTTTTTAAAATTTAGTTTATTTCTCAATCTGATCACTGTAAGAAGGAGCACAGGCATGCTCTTGGTTTAGCAGGAGAGGCATTTAGTATGAGTCAATATTCAGTTATGATATTTTTCTATTTATGCCTTGAAATGATATAAAAATGCTGTAACTTATAAGAACAATATAGGAGTAGAAATACTAAAGAAATTATTCCATATCTGTTGAGTTTACAGCATGGTTAATGTAAAAAAGAAATGTATAAAATCAATTTCAAGACTATATACTTTGTGCAATGTATTTTATTCTATATAAGAAACTTCTGAAAACTACCATTTATAAAACAAAAATCTGTATTATGGGCTTTACAAATATATATCTATGAAAGCAGTGAAGAATAATTTATATGCTCGATTAAATATATCCAAATCATAGTGCAAAGTTCATTTTTAAATTTAACACACAAACCATGTCAGTATGCCAACTACATTAAAAAGTATTTTACCTCGTATTAAAAAAGGATATTACTAACATGAAAAATGCCTGGGGGCAGATTTTTCATTTTGTCTTTGCATTCTTCAGTGGATTTTAACGAAGGTCATTTGTGATCAGAGTTACACATTTTTCACAATAACTGATCTCTTCTACGGCAGTGTACATTAGAATGTCCCTTACCCCTTAATGACTAAGTTTCTAACCTGTGATTGCAGCATGATTACATTCCACTTATTCAGTGGTACTAATTTGTCTCAGTAAAACATTTTTTAATGATTTTTGTTAGGTAAAACTTGAGTGCTTGGGCATCCTAACCATTGTCCTGGAAGGAGAAAGTCCTTTCTTCTTTTTCTTTTCATCAATTTTAACTCCAAATACAGCAGCATCAAACAGTTTGATTTGTTGACTTGTATACTCACCTACATCAATAAACATAGCTCTAGGCCCCCACTACGTTTTGCTTGCTCTTTCTTTCACTTTTACAGCCATTAACCAAATATGTATTAGAGGCATTAAGGAAACCTAACCCTTGGACTCCTTGCCCATTCATTCTATCCACAGAATCATTAGTATAACTGTCCTCAAACACTCTCATAATTGTTTTTGTTCCCTATTCAAGAACAACGAGTAACTTTCGATGGCCTATTATATATTTACACCTTTTATCCTAAAAGTTAATACTCTCCTTTCCCTGAGTTTTGCTCTGAGAAGTCTCATCTCTTCCTGCTGTATAGCACAGCCTCTCTGCAGCTTCTAAGCCATTTGGTTGTTATGAGAACAGGAGACTTACTTGTTTCCCTGCTTGTGCAGATGTCATCCTGCATCCTGTGCATCCACTGCTGACCTACACAGCCCACTGCACTTTTAGATAAGCCAGTTAAGAGAGCTTTTCTCTTTATAAATCAATTATCCATGCTTTCCACAGTTGTCTTTGTGTGTGCCATTGCAACGAAGTCTTTCTTAGTTGTTCTGCATACACATGCTGTGTGTACAGTAGCACTTTCCTTAAGTATCAGGGAAGGCTCTCTAGGAATGGCACATTTAGTACCTGGATCTTCCCCCCTGCCCTCAGAAGCCCAGTGGCCTGAGTTTTAATTCTGGGCACAACATACATTTAAATATATGTTTTATGACTAAGCAATGTCTATTTTTATGTGAAAAGGTATCTACTGAACCTTAAGTTGGGATAAAATCTTCAGCTAGGAAGTGATTCTGTTTATTTATTTATTTATTTATTTTGGTCTTTTTGAGACAGCTGTAGCCCCAGCTAGCCTGGAACTCACTATGTTGACCAGGCTGGCCTTGAACACAGAGATCTGCCTGCCTCTGCCTTGGGGGCCTAACTCAGAGGCTGATTAAATCAGCTATTACCAAACAAATGCTCCTTTCTTATAGTGGACTCTGACTCCAAGATACAATAGAGTGCTGAGATTTAAGGCCACCATGCCCAGCAACACTAAAATTTTTTGTCTTTTTGAGACAGGGTCTCCCTGTAGTCCCAGCTGTCCTGGAACTCACCATGCAGACCAGGCTGGCCTTGAACTCACAGAGATCCACCTGCCTCTGCCTCCCAAGTGCTGGGACTACAGGCGTGTGCTACCATGCCCAGCTCTGTGTATTTTAATTGATAAGAATGAATGCAAGTGGCTAGGGATGTAGTCCAGTGGTAGAGTGCTTGCATAGCATGCATAAGGTCCTGGGTTTGAGCTCTGGCACCATTAAAAGAATCAAATGCAATCCTGATCTTATGCATCCTTATCTTCACCCACAGCACATACCTAAATCTTTCTGTTTAAGAAAATATCATGTGATATATATTTACCTATAATTGGTTAACAGAGACAATGTTCTATCTTACCTATCTATCCAAATTTTAAATAGTTCAGCTTTCTACAGATATAATGCACTATTATTTTCCCGATCATAGAACAATGGGCATGTTTAGTTCTATGTGTGCAATTTCATATAGTGCAGGAAAATATTAATAATTTGGCCTGTACATCAACTGTTAATATGAGAAAATATCTAGGCATATTTAATTCAAAAATTAAAATTGTATTTTTTAAATTGTGTATGTGACCTGACCTTTTATTAGTATCTCTAAATTTTAACATCTCTGAATGTCCATTCTATTTTACACTATTTTAATTGTTGCAGCAGTGATTGTAACTGAAATTCCTGTGGTGCTATTTTAACCATTGTCATTAGCCACAGTTATTCATTCTATTTGACTTTAATTTTAAAGTTTTGACTTTAACCTGAAAGTTGACATATTAATATACTTAGGAGAATTTTTCTCCTAATCTCTTTCTACCCTACAGAAGAGCTGCTATAACAAAGAGTGGTGACTGACCACTAACAGAAGAGGGTGCTTTGCATTTGTCACAAATAATGAGGGAAACATTATCCAGGATGCTAGGGAGGGCCATGATCAACTGGTTTTTGATACAGATTGTTTATATGGTGACAAGAGTTTTCACTAAAATTTCCTTTTAACTGACATTTCCCGTGTGACAATAAAAAAATGTTTATTTGTAGACTGGCTGCTCAGGGTTTGGATTGGAGGTCCTGCCCATGCAACAGACTGGCAGGCTGGGGATGACTGAGTGTGGGTCAGGTGGTTGCTGAAGGCATGGAGGAACATTGGGCAGGGCTCCTCTGCAGCCTATTTTATATTACTGTGCTTGTTTGAAGGCCCTAAATTATTAACAGTGAATATTCATTTTAAGTTTTTACTTTTGTTCATTTTCTTTAGAGCCCACTTTTATGTTTGTCTACAAATCATCTATGTAATTTTAGAAAGCAAAATGCACAAGGCTCAGAAATAATTACGCATTCTATTATGCCTTAAAATATCTGGATGAAGGTCATGTTTAACACTCAGCTGCTTCCCTAAAATTAATTTCCATGAGTGATAATTTAGTGATCTATGTACTTTAAAGGTTTGCATCTGGGGACAACGATTATCCTAGTTAACTTCACTTAAAAGAATAGACTTTTATTTCATGGAATCTACAAGCATTTAGAACAAATCACTGTGGGTTCCGAAAATAAAATTAATGCAAAATATGTTGAAACTTCTGTGTGGCTATCCCTAGAGAGGGTGTCCTTTATATCTAAGTATAAAGTAGGAGAGCCCTAGCACTTATAGTTCCAAATATATCAATAATATTAATTAAAGGGGGGGCAACTAGCTATGGAAGCCTCGTATATTAGGACAATTCATAGTATCAGTGCATGTTAACAAAAACAACAAAAAAAATTCCAAAATAATATAGTTCTTAAGTGTGATGATTACTAATTGATTTTCTCATAAATCTTGTTCTGTCATTCATATGAAACCAATTATGTTATAACTAGACAGCTTGTAATGCAAACATTTGTTTCCTATTTTGAAAAACATTTTTCATTGATAATAGCCACAATTCCTAGCTATATGCCATGTACTCCATTAGGAAGAGATATTCTTCTATGTTTCTAACAGCAGAGTGCAGTATTTTGCAAGGAGGTGTAAGTTTGAGGTTTAGTAATAAATTTCTATTAGGCTCTGCTTTTTGGTGCCCTTATTACACAGTTAAATTGTAAAGTGTGAGAAACCTTTTCTGCTACACACGCTACATTAAAATGTTTTTTAAAGCATAAGTAAAAATACTGCTGCTGCTGACTTCTGGATTTAGTGAGAGCAAAGGCAAAATGGGTTTCAGGTAGGGAAAGGCTTCTCTTTCTACATGTCAGTGTCAGTCCCAGAGCCACATTTGCGGCAGAAGATACCCATGTTCTGGGTCAGAAATCCTTCACCCACCAAGGAGATAGAGCATTTTCCACAGTTGAAGCACTCGCTGTGCCACTGGCGGTCTTGAAAGCAAATAAACTTGGCACCTTTGAGACCTGTAAAGGAATTGGAGAGGAAGCGTGATCCTTTCTTTCTATGAACAGGTTGAATATTCTGAATTTTAGAAACTAGTAATAGAGCTGTGAGCAAGACAATATAGACAGAGTAACGCCTAGGGCCCCCCACCCTTGTGTCTAGCTGGAAATATCTGTGCACCACAGGTGAGTTCCTGCTATGAATCCCAGCAAGATTCCCAGCGGAATTCTCCTGTAATCCACTGAAGTAAATAGAATCTGGAGTTCAAATTCATAGGGTATTTTTTTGGGGGGAGAGGGGGGTGAGAACTGTCTGAGACAGTTAAGGAAATGCAGTGCGATGGGGGAGGCAGCACGGGCTTCCACACCTACAATATTCAAGCATGAATGCATTTTCCCTTTCTCTGTGTGTGCGTGAAAATTTTCCTAGCTGTAAATTGAAAATAAAAGGAATGTGTGCTTCTCAGCCTGGCGTTTGGTTTTGATGACTAAGCTCTCTTTCCTGCCTCATTTTCCTGTGAGTAGTTTTACTTGGTGTTAGTAGTATTCTTGGAAGTTTGAGACAATTTTCAGAAAGCTCAAATAAAAAACTTCTTCCATACTATTATTCTACAGCAATAATTTTATTATCTTGCCCAGAGGCAGGTTCACCTCAGGCTGCCAATGGAGGAATCTCCTTCCTCTAGCCACTGTGGCCACCCTACTTAGCGATTCATTCTGAGAAGGGCTTCAGCCTCCACCACATTAACTTGGGACTTGCTTGAGCTATCCAGTTTGACCTTTCTTTTCTTTTTATTTATAAATTTTTCATATTTTTGAGATTTTTCTCCCCTCCAACTGCTTCTATGTCCCCCTACTCCCTCTCAAATTTATAACCTCTTCTATAATTTCTCTCTCTCTCTCTCTCTCTCTCTCTCTCTCTCTCTCTCTCTCTCCAATCTACTGAGTCCATTTAGTATTGCTCATATGTACATGTCTTTAGGGCTGACTACCTGGGATTGAATAACCTATCAGGGAACTTTTCCCCAGGGAAAACTGGTTCTTCTCTTTCAACAGCCATTGGTTGCCTGTAGCTTTTCGTCCGGGAGTGGGACTTTGTGAAACTCCCCACCCCCAACCATACTGGAATGTCAGCAAGTTTTGTCATTGTGTAGGTCTTGTTTATGCAACCGTATTATGGTGATGCCATGAGTGCAGCTTCCCAGTCATGTATAGAAGACAGTACCTCACAGCAGGCATCCTGAATCTTATAATCTTTCTGCCCCCCTCATCTGGAATGTTCCTAAGTCTTAGGTGTAGGAGTTGTATTGTGGATGTACCAGCTGGGGTTGAGCACCCCAGTACTTAATTCTCTACATTTTACGAGTTGTGGATCTCTTTAATAGCCTCTATCTCCTGAAAAGAGAAGCTTCTGTGTTGAGGGGTGAGAGCTACACTATCTGTGGGTATAAAGATAAATATTTAGAATACAGTTAGAAGCTATATTGTTTTAGGCAAATGCCAGTAGGGTCTATGAACCCTCCAGCCCTGGAAAGTTGGCTAGGTTTACAGTACAGGCATGAAGTCCCCCCAAGTGAGCAGGTCTTATGTCCACAGGTATTGGTTACCTCTAAGATGTAAGTATCACTATTGCACCATTGGGGATATTTTGGTGGTCATTCTTGTGGTTTATCGGCTTTACAGCTGGGTAAGACCATTGATTGATTTTCTCCCTTGGCAGCTTGAGTAACATCTTCTGATATTGTAAGAACAAGTCTTCAGGAAGGGTCTTCCAGGTCAGTTCAGGCATGATTTCCCTGGTCCTATGTCTGAAGTATATGGTGTCTTTAGCAGTAAGGTCTTACCTTCTGATTTTAGGAAGCAACTAGGAGTGATGGCAATATTGTTTTGGGACTCTCTCAGACTTCCTTAACTAACAACTCTAAGGGAAGTTTCCTTTGCTTGGTATTGGAGCATTTGTTAGCCTACGGGGAAGCTATTAATTTGATAAGTGTTTTCCAAGTAATCTTCATGCTATAGGTTTCTTGGGCCTTTCTTACCATACATAGAGTGAAAAAAAATTTCATGTGGTGATTTATATGTAATAGCTTAATTCTCCACTTGAGATAATGAAGCATAAAACATGAACATGAATCACTTTCAGATAAATTATCTGTGAATGTGATAATGAACCTTTATTTTATATCTTTTATCATTTAAAAATGTATCTTATCTATGTGTGTCTGTGCGCATGTGTCTGTGTATGTATATATGCACATGTATGCTTAGGTGCCTGTGAAGGTCAGAGAATGATATTGGATCCCTTGGAGATGGAGTTATAGGAGGTTGTAAGCCACCCAACATGGGTGCTGGGATTTAGACTCCAGTCCTCATAACTGAGCAGCAAGCACTCAACCACTGAGCCATCTCTCCAGTCCTTATTTGATATCTTTATACAGAGCTTAGTTCATAGAGAAATTCCCATCTAGATCCTTTCTTTACTTTATTAAATGTGTAGCTTGTGTATCTATGATGATATCATTACTTTCTAATAACAGAAAATTAGTAGTATACCAATTAATTACTTTAATGTTACTTGAATCATTAGGAAGCTAACTGCAGGAGTAATGTTCTGTGTACACATAAATAATCTCTATCCATAAAACTAATTATCACATGTGTAATATACTTATGAGTTATTCTCAAGTTTAATTAGTAAGTTTACACAAATGGAAGATGTAAAAGTAATTCTAAAATTTTACATAGAAGGAAAATTGAGGTATCTGGCAGCAGGACTCTAAGGTTTAACTCAGCATAATAAGTTACTTTAAATTGTTCCAAATTTGGATATGGTTACTCCTTCAGGTCACAAGGATCATTTTCAGTAACAAAGCCATTTAGGAAACTCATCTCTGTCACTTGTTTTATCTGGCTTCATTTATTCCCCTCAAGTCAATAAAATAAAAGATGACATTCATTGAGATCTGGATGTTTTCGTTCCATTCTAAGTAAGTCTACCTTCGTAGGGTAGATATTAGCATGGTCCTCACCTATAGACAAAGACTGAGGAATAGAGAAATTCAACCAGTCATCTGAGGTCACCTGCTGGCAACATTTGAATCAAACCCAGGGAGTCTGGGTTCCCAATTCATGCTATAACCTCATCACATTGTTTAACCTTACCTTTTGTAAAGAACATAGCTGGAACACTATACCTCTTTGGGGAGAAACTAGAACATTTGAAACCCCACTTTCTCTAAATAAAGAGAAATGGAAGAAAGCTCATATGTTGGCATTTTCTGTTCATTTTGTAGCTACGGCAAGTGAGAACCTCTAAGGTGAGTTTATTACCCACGGTCACACAGGAGTCACACAGATGAGACAAGGACTTTTAATGCCCAGTTCAGAGCACTTTCACTACACTGAGCTACTTCATTTATTCCAGATAGTTCAAGAGGTAGTATCTTAGAAGAGGAGTGAAAACTGTAGTTATACCTGTACTTTCTTCAAATGAAGCAAATTCATTGTAATAGCATCAAATACTTACATACGGTCACATATAGGAAGTACCAGTTAGTAGAAGATAGTATACTAAAAGCATTCTAACATAGTTAGCTTCTTTTCAAATTATTCATATTTTAGTTGACAAAAGGTATATATCTATAGTATATAACATGATATATGTACATACTTTATGGAATGACTAAATCAATCTAATTAACATAGCTATTACCTCAGTTATATCTTTTTTTTTTTTTTTCCTGAAGCAGTCTGCGTTACTTTAATTGTGTTTAGTGAGGAAGAACCTAAGGGGTACAAACTTACTAACTCAGACTGTGGCTCATCCTGGAAGCTCATGCTGTTTTACATAAACAAGGACAGGAGTCTTTCAAGTGCAGGATTAGTTTGGTTTAGGTTATCAGGGAAAGAAAGCCAAAAAATGCAGCAAAAATTTGATTTTAGAAAACAAAAATTTTCCTTCATTGATTTCTACTGGCCCATGCCAAAAGACCCAGTTTTCATATGGCACAATTACATTTAGGGTCACAATGGAAATCTGAAGTAACTGTGATACTAAGAGACATCAGCCCTAGAATTAAACATTTGATATGCGCTATCACAATTTATGCTGAAAACAATCAGATGAACGAAATAGTCTCATCTTTTAAAATGGAATTTTGTGATCAGTTTTCAGTTATATAATACATCATTAACTGTAGTCATTACATTGTACAATAAATTTTCTGAACTTGTTATGGACTCTTTCACCAAGAATACATAGATGCTAAGGTAACTAAATGTTTGCATGAATTCACAACTTTCTGAAGATAAACAGATAACATTCTTAGGATTCAAATAGCTCAATTTAATGAAGGTTTGTTTTGTACTTTACATGTATTTGACATTCCAATCAAGAAATATTAAAATGAGCTATAAGTATTTGCAGACAATTCCGTCTTAAGATAATCCTCAGAAGTTCTTCTAGACTGACTCTTCTAATTTAAATACTTATTACCACATCTGGCTTAGTTTTTGGTCTCATATTTTTGTTCTTGACTGTCCTTATGTTTTTGTGTAGAACAGTGTTGCTTTTCTATTTATTCTGAATGAAACTGGATTCAGTGTCTGATCTGCAACATTCACCAGAAACATCACATAGGTGCCTCTGTCTGTGATGGATCAGAACTGGACCTCATAGAGTTCAGGAATACCACAGGCTCCCTGAGATCACTGTTGGATGTTTGAGCTCCCAGAAAACTATAAAAAGTCATTTTGAATTATTTAACTTCCTCATTTTCTTACTAGAGTGCCTCTTTTTCTAGCCCAATTCAAGTGAAGTTAGACTAGATTCTTAATTATAGAGACTTTGTAACCCAGGTGCATTTTCCCAACAGGAAGTCCCATTTTCTAACTCAAAGTGATGGAGGTGGTAGTTGCTCCCTTAGCTATAGGATTTGCCAGGTGAATAGATGGCAGGAGAGCAGAGGGGTCAGGAGCACATACTCAGGATAATTGGAATAGTTAATGAGAGCCCGTGCTAGAGCTGAGGAGGTAGCAGCTGAGTGACAGAGGCAGGGAATGAGGAAGAGAGGATATGGTCCCTGAATCAAGGCAGCCTCTCTGTTCCTTGGGAAAGTGATCCTGCTTAGGGAGTGTAGAGGCAGTCTTACCTCTGGCAACCTCTGCATTCACTTTTAGCTGTAACAAGGGATTTTATATTAGTCACCCCCAACTAAGTGTGGACCAAATAAAAAATTTACTTGTTGACCAGAAACAGTCTACTGCTTCTGGTGTGAGTCTGGAGAACATGGTGCCTCTGTGTACACAGACAAGACTGCTCTTAACCAGGAGACCCCTCTCTCCCTTTGCAAGTGTGTAAAAAGCCTTCAATTTTGACTTGGCAGAGAAAAATCTTTCCTTTCATCAGTAAATGCATGTAGGTTCAGTTTTTACATGTACACACACACACACATATACACACTTGAAGATTTGAAGAACACACACATGCACACATACATGCATGCACACACACACACACACACGCACACACACACACTTGAAGATCTGAAGATGGAATAGGAAGGGAGTAGCCTTTAATTTGGTGTTATGAGATCTGAACTTAAAAATGATGAGCTGTGGTCTAAGAACACTGGAATGGGGGATAGAAATACAGTTCTGTCACATTAAGTGACAGTACATTGTCTGGAAGAACAGCTGCTGGGTTTCTCAAGTATCATGCTGGCTTCAGCTTCTTTACCATAGGATTAGCATTTCGGAGATGGTTCTGTGAAAATATAATACATTCTTCTACACCTGTGAAAACTTATTTAATGGTGATCAATTTACCGTCTATGTTATTTCAAACCATGTCTCATGTAATTTGTTTCTTCAGTAGAATACTATGTTGTTTTCTCTCATAAGGAAAAGTTGTTGCAGGTGAATGAAACGAAAAGACTAATGCACTTGTTAGAAGCATCTTAAAAGGAAGTTCAGTCCATTGCTGGTCTATGCTACTCTAATCATTACAGTTTCACTTATTTTCTGGGATAGTGTTACTTGATTAAAATCTTTTGTATTTAAATTGTTTGGCCCTTGGTTTGTAATTAAGCAGGATTCTGTTATAGTAGTGTTCCTTCCTCCCATTCAGTTCCTTAAAGGGGCTCAAGTTGGGCCTCCTCATTAAGGCCTCCTCTGACCTTTTAGCTCATCCTATTTTCTCCTTCCTTGGACTTCACTTTACTTAGAGTCCATACCATTAGATTTAATATTACTTTTAACAGAGTATAGCTACCCAAAGTATACTCTGTCATTTCCTTGAGGGGTCCATGAAAAATTTAAATTTATAAATACCTATGTGTGTTTATCTATAAAGGAAATATAATGTAAAAAATGCATTTTTACTTGCATTTCCTAAATTAGCTTGGTAGCATTTTACATAGTTATACCTGCATCACGGGAAAACCATAGTGAGCTGAAGGACTTACCAGTGATGGGTTTCATACAGGCTGCACACTTTTTAGCATAAAGATGGTTGTAGCAATCCAAGCAGAATGGAAAATCATCCCTGGACATAAATGCCTCTTCACAAAGCTCTTTCCTACAGCCACTACACACAAAACATTCTTTATGCCATATCTGGTCACGGAATGTTATTCCCCCAGAAGTTATCACCTGCCAAGATATAATCAAAAGGTAATGAACATGGGTACCATAGCAATTCAGACAATTTCATGACACTCTTCTGTGCCTACATTTGGTGCTTTGAACTTTGCTACTACCTTATGTTAGGATGCTTGTTTCCTTAAAATCGTCTGTGTTTTAAATACATATGAGAAGTCAAATATTATAAGGATTACATAGAACTTCAAAAATTGAAAATGAGTCTATTTTTCTTCAGTGCATCAGAAAATAGGTAGAGCCACCTTGGACTCAGGAAGATCATAAAAGAAGTTTGATTTACCTCATTTTCCTTTGAGTTTTCTTATTTTGATTTTCAAAGATCTGCTATTAGGGATAATATTTTTCTATACCACCTTTTATATCAATATCTGACTTTGAAAGATGCTGAAAAATCCACTCTACTTTTCCTTGAAAGCTTCACAGTATGTCTGAAAATATTCAGTAGTAGAGGCTTTGGATGGAGCTAATGGGTACCATCATTTGCAAACAGTAACTCACTTTTTTTTTCAATCCTTAGTACTGTCTTGGACATAACCCTTTTTGGATATTCTCAACACCCCTACATGGTGTAGACTTTCCCCTTTTGTAGATAAAGAGTTCCTGAGTGTTCACAGGACAGTGTTACTTGCTATCTCAGAAAGACAACACTCAAATGTGCATAGCTAGACTCTATAACTTGTATGCTTAACCACTTTGGAAAGCAACTCTAATATTGTATCTTACACAAAGGGAGTGCTTGAGGTTAATAGATGAGTTAAGTCCAGGACTCAGATAATGATACAGATGGTACACTGAGCCAAGAAATGCTTATTAGTGGCCCATAATATATAGATAGTGCTGGGAGTTGAACCCAGGGCCTCATAAATGCTAGGCAGACACTTTCCTATGGAGCTACACTTCTAACCTATAGTATAGATTTCTTGAAATCAGTTTAACACATGGGTTCTTTGAAAAGTCTAGACATCTTTATTCAGGATCAGCTTGATAAACACTGAGTAAGTCTTCCTGTATAGCTATTTTATAGTCACCTCATAATTTAAATCCATGGCTGTTGACCTCACAGAGTTGGTGAAGAAACTAGAATGTGCTGATGCCCATATCTTAAAAGACTGAGAGAATGCAATATCTCAGATGACCCTTATAGTCTTTCTATCGAAATCACTAGATATTGAAAAATGTAAGTCTATTTAGAGCCATTTTGCTGACAGAAGTGTTGTTTGACTATCATATAGGCTTTTGAAAAATTATTCCAAAGATATTTAACCTTATATAAAGTATATTAGAAGCTAGAGATATTTGATAGGAGTTCATTTTTCTACAAGGAAAAAGTATACTCTGCAGCTCTGAATAAGCAAATGAGAAGCATAGAGAGGTATGTGTGAAGAGAAGCAATTTAAAATACCTCCCACTGTCTTCAATGCCTGACAGCAGCCACAGCAAAAATTATGTTTCCTTTGAAATGATTTGTAGACAGTGCTTAAAAGATCTGAAACTTGAAAAAGGATTCCTAGCAAAAGAAAACACATATATGTGCCAAAGTCTGTTTAATTCAGGAATAGAAATTCTGGAACATTTGAAAAAAAGTTTGCTTGTGATTATATTCTTTTTGAAGAGGTAGGCAGGCATAAACGAAGTCTAATATCTAAGTTTGGTTTTGACCGCTGACTTAGAATAAGTTTCTTCTCTGGCAAAGTGGAGACAGTAATGACTGTGTGTGTATGTGGGGGAGGATATGAACCACGGTTCCCACTTTACTTACCAAGACATATCCCCAACCCTACAGCAACGGTTTTGAATACAGTAGACAACAAACAGTTGAAGAACTGAAGAACACATCTCACTTCATTTTTACCCTGAAGAATTTGAATTCGAAGCACTTACAGTTTGAGTCACTTGTGTGTTAGTAGAAAGTTCTAGTACAACGATCTAAAATTGGTGGAAAAACTTTACTTGGTCATCAAATAGTTTTGCTTTAAAAAAATTTATTTTTGATTTTTGGTTTAACTTGAAAGAATTTATTTTTCTTAAGCTTTGATCAAAATTGTTTATGTCCAGTTTTCCTTCAGATGCCTGTAGTTTTAAAAATTAAATAAGCAAATCATTTGAGCATTTCACGATCTGTCTACTGCCCAAAACAAACGGTTCTTAAGTTTTTAATGATTTCAAATCATATCTTTAATCTAGTCACAGTCTTCCACAGCCTGGGAGACCCAAGTACTTTGTCTCGGACATCTTGATCTTTATAGTAGCATTGAAGATTGCTAAAATTGAAAGATTATATTATAATGAATAAATTTTAAGACAGTTCCCACAAGTCTAATTAATGTTTCAGCCTAAGACTTCAGGAAATAAAGCCTAAAAATGTAGCTTCTCAAAATAGCAAAATAAAACTACTCATTTATGTTTCCATAAACATAAATGCATTCCATTGACTCTGGTAAGTCTATGAAACCTCATATGTCACAGGGTCATAGGGTCTGAATGCTGTTTGCAGCATCATTTTCTAAATCAGCATTTCTAGTAAAATAATAGAGACCTCTGGGTATTAGATGATTTCCTGTCTTGTTACTATTCACTATAACTCTCTGCCATCATTATGATGTAATTTAGTAATTATAACTCAAAAAAGTATATTCATTAGCTTCTTTCAAATGCAATGCTGGTTTTATTAGTACATGTAGGAAATTCCTTTACCATGTGCACTTCCACGAGTCTTCTGTACGCAGCAATGAGACCTCTGGCTCCTCAAATGTAAATACATGAGTGGTTTTAAGAACTCGGCCAAAGTAACTAATAGATCACAGTTTCTGGAACCACTGAGCCAACCCACTTTCCTGAGTCAGCCTTCTCACGGTTTTTAGTGCTGTTTTAAACTGATAATGCTTCACATATCAAGGATTTCTTTGGAATATCAATATATATATATTATGAAATCCAGACAGGCTTCATCACGATGATAGACATGAGCTGATTTTCACATTAAAGTGTGGAAGGGTAAAATGTTAGGCCAAATATATTTCTAAAAAATGACTCCTAGACAGGCATGGTGGCACACTCCTTTAATCTCAGCATTTAGGAGACAAAGGCAGGAGGAACTGTGTAAGTTGGAGGCCAGTCTAGTCTGCATAGAGTTCCAGGCCAACTGGGGCTTACAGGGAGACCCTGACTCCCTAAAAAAACCAAGCCAAAAGATCTTCCTATTGGAAAATAAGGTTTGAGTGGGAAAAGAAGAGCCCAGCCTCCTCAGCTCACTCTAGAGCGGGAACTGAAGGAACTTTTGTTCTTAGATTTTGTGCGCTTTTATGTCGTTGGGTTTCTCTTGGGATCTTCTCAGTCCCTTTCTTGAACATGAGAAGCCCCAAGCCTGGGAAACACCTGAGTTGCTGGAAGAGGATAGGTAGATTCTCCAGTGCTGTTTCCCTGAGTCAGTCTCAGGGGTGAATCAATTTTTTTCCGAAATGGTTAACAATTAAATGGATCAAAAACTATTTTCTAAGAAACGAAGAGAACAACTGTACCTTCGCCCAGAACAAAGTCTCGTATAAAGTACTGAATGGAATTGGGAGATTAAAAGACTGTGCTTTGTGGGATGTTAAATCCATGATCTAGGTGGCATTTTATGGCTGTTAAAAATAGGAAGTCAGCCGGGCGTGGTGGCGCACACCTTTAATCCCAGCACTGGGGAGGCAGAGACAGGCAGATCTCAGTGAGTTCAAGACCAGCCTGGTCTACATAGTGAGTTCCAGGACAGCTGGGGCTACAGGGAGACCCTGTCTCAAAAAGACAATAAATAACTAAATAGATAGATAGATAGATAGATGATAGATAGATGATAAATAAATAAATAGGAAGTCATCTTTATTGTGTCAATTTGTAGTTTGGGATTTGCTGATTCAAAGCTAACACAAATGTGTTAGATACAGCATGATAGTGTCCGTTCATTCTACATATATAATATAGCTAAACCAATGGTGTGGAAATTTCCACAAGCCTTACCCTCTTTAGACAGTTACCTTCTTACAAGAGTTGCAGTAGTGAGCAAATTCCTTCTCAAAACAGGGCACACAGTAATTGCCATGCTCTTTGGAGATCAAAGGCTTTGTTCCTATTGGTTGTCGGCAATGCTCACATACAAAACAGGTTTCATGCCAGTAGTTGCCCTTAAATTCCATTTTTCGAGAACCTTAACTCCAAAATAAGAACTTGTTAGTATAAGTCAGGCATTCTTTTACTATGTTTAATCAAAGATAGCTTAAACTGTTTAGAAATGTTGTTAAGCATAAGTGATAAACTAATTGTCCTTTAGGAAAACCAACATTTTTGTCAGTTTCTGAGACATTTCCCTGAGGAAAGTTAATACAGTTCAGCTATGAGCAAATTACTAACAAAAGACACCTATGAGCTCTGCATAAGCTACACTGTGGAAACAGCAAAAGCCTTTAAGGGCAGGCGTGGGATGACTCACGGCTTAGATAAATTGGTTCATAATAGTCATCTAATGATAGATAGGGATATTATAAATGCCCAGAGCACAACTCCTGAAAATATACAAATATATATATAGAGAGAGAGAGAGAGAGAGAGAGAGAGAGAGAGAGAGAGAGAGCAGTTATACCTTCTGAAAATAGTCTCATATATATATAGAGAGAGAGAGAGAGAGAGAGAGAGAGAGAGAGAGATTGATTTATGTTCTTATACTGTTGCCCACAGGGATAGGAAAGGACCAAGGAATGGTGAATCAATGTTGTTAAAAGTAGAATCATTTAAATAGATACTTTTCTCCCCTAGGAGAGAAGAGACCCTCAAGCCAATCTATATAGCACTATGAAGTTAAGTGTTGGGCTGGTGAGATGAGATGGCTCAGCTGCTAAAGGGGCTTCCTGCTTTTCTTTACATCTTGAGTTTGATCCCTGGAACCCACACAGCGGTAGGAGAGAACTTGGACTAAAGTCCAATTTGTCCTCTGACTTCCATACACACACCATGCATGCACATGTACACACACACACACACACACACACACACACACACACACTAAATGTAAAGAAATGAGGACTGTCCCCAATGTCCTATGAAGAATCATCCTTTCTAAGGCCATTGCTCATGCCCAAGGCAAAGTGTTTACAGTAGTGTTTCTGGTATAAGTTGTATTCTATAGCTCTAGCTCTGCTTCTAAATGCTCTTATAAATTAAGTTTTATGAAAATAAAACATTAAACCCTGTGATAAAATGATAGGGCACTGTAATTTACTTGTTCAAGAAGAATAAATGAACCAAAGTACACGAAGTGACATCCAGAGAAATCAAGAAAACTTCCTTTCTCAAACTCAGAGTGTTGTGAGCTGCTGTGAGGTGCCATGGCTTGTTGGTCTCTCTCTCACCCACCCCAGCCCTCACCAGGCATGATGGTTCTCTTGCAGTGGAAGCACTTGGAGGAGCACTCGTTAGAATAGCAGTCGGTGCACAGCAGACGCTCATCCTTGGCAACAAAAGGCTTTTCCACCAAGGAGTGATGGCATTTGGTACACTTGAAGCATCCTTCATGCCAATGACGGTTTTTGTAACAAAGATCCTTTGAGACAGTAAATAAAGTTAATTAAATGTTTTTGTCACAAAACAAGCCATTACTCCTGGGACTGTAGTACCAGTAGGCTGTGCTACTAGCTTGAGGGAAAGTTGTTGATATTGTTATCTACAGAGGGGAGACTCTCTGAGGTAATTAAGAGCAAGAGGCTAGGGCTCCTTTGATTGGTTGCTAAAGGCTGCTGGAAAATAACCCAACTGGTAGAGAAAGAGAATAAGAGAACACTGTATGCTAAAAATGAAAATTATTTCATGACAAGCCTCTTTTAATTTTCAGTATACAGTGTTATATTATTCTTTGAGACTTCAAACAAATAACATCATTTAACCAAAACAAAGGCAAAGAAGAAGAAAAACATATATTTAGTATACGGGGGCAGAAGGGCCTTGTGAAGGGGTGTAGTGGAGCAGTGAGTGGCGGCAAGGCAGAATTTTAAGCTGGAAAGCACAGACTTTGAATTTTTATACTTCCATTTATTTGTGTACTCATTTACTTTGTTATTCCAGATGTAACAAACTTTTAGTTGTGTAACTTTGGGGAAAGAGCTTAACTTCCTTTATTTTTATCATCCTAAAACTACCACACATATACATGCACACAAAAACAGTTGCCTTACAGGATAATGTGGGCTCAAAGCATGTGTTTCATAGTGTTAAGTAGAGTGGCTAGAGATAGCTATGAGGATTTTTATGTGCAATGGCAGTGTCTAGAAGTCAACGCTGAAAGAAAAGACGCATTCCGAAGAAGTTATATGCTGTACGTAGGCAGTGATTCTGAGATGTAGAGTGAGGCCTACCTTGGAATCTGATTCAATTCGTTCTTTGCACTGCTCACAGTAGTTAGAGAAGATCCGACCATAACAGGAGACACAGTATAGATTATCATCCTTGAGTACATACTTCTTCCCAAGCAGGGACGCTGCGCAATATTGACAATCAAATTGAGAGCTTGCCATTTCAACGTGATCGATTCTATGGACAGGAAAATGATTCTTGTACATAAAAGCAAGATTTTTGTTACGAACGGCAAGTCCTTAATAAAATGTGAGTCAAGCACTTTAATTTATACATTCTTCAACAAAACTTCAGAAATTTAGTAAATTCGCTTGTAGTCATGGTGACACCTGAGTGACTTTTAGTCACATCAACCTGAAAAAACAAAGCTTCACAGCAGGTGGGATTCAGTCCTTGTACCACATCTTTGTGACCTTAATTGAGCAATGGCCCAGATATAGCGGCTCAGGCAAAATCACCAAATGAGGAAAACTGCAGGCTTCTTCTTTGGTTTTAGCTAGGGCTGAGCTAGCAGGCATGCACCATGGGTAAGAGCAGCAGCTGCCCACAGAATGAAAACTGGTATGGGTGTGAAGGTAGCATGAAGATAAGACTTCAGATTATTTTATAAACCTAGGAAAATCATTAAGGAAAAGACTACAGATTTCAAAGGCTTTTCATAGGTATTGAACAAAAGCAGTAACACTAATTCTCTTTAGAAATATGGGTTTTGTAATCTCTGGATTTACTTGTATATATTGTTGATGCAAAAACATAACTCTCAGGTCAAAGGGGATAAGAGATAGTTTATTCTGGAGCCAAATATGAGTGACCGTGGCTTGGGAACACAGATTCAGGTACCCCAAATTCCGTGTTCCAGCATGGTAGCAGTTGTCTTACATTTTTATAGTAACAGAACAAAGAAGTCATAAATCAAGACACTTTTCAAATACATTGGAGGATACATTCAGTAGGTGGGTCATAGCAAAGCAAGGGGTTTTTTACTATAGGTCTCAAATGCTATCTAATGACATTCTTAGCCTTTTGATGGGTGAGACCAGGTGGTCTGCTAGGGTAAAACATTCTAAAAGGTTTTTATCTGTTAGTCACAGGATGTTAGATCAGAAACAGAGGTGGGTAAGCAAGGACTGGCTGTTTGAGGGGCTGAAGATGGCCAAGATAAATGGTAATTAGACTCTGGACCTGCAACATTCCAGACTCTTCACAGTCTCCAGAGTGATTCAGTTGGTCAAACCTTGCAAAAAATGCAGTCTAAGGTGCAGGAGTTCTTTTAGGGAACTTTTCCTTCACAATATCCTTATTCTTGAATGTAGTTTTTTTTTTAAGCAAAACCAGAAGATTAATGAATATAATACTTCAAAAGCATTTTGATGCTAATTTGTATCTACTAAACTTATAATTTATTTTAATTTTTAAATTATGTGTATTTATGTCTGTCTGTTTGTGGGTATGTGCACTACCTGTGGAGGCCAAGGTGTTGGATCCCCCTGAAGCTAGAGTTACAGATTGCTGTGAGCCACCCTGTGTGGATGCTGGGAACTGAATGCAGATTCTTTGTAAAAGCAAATTGTACTCTGCACTGCTGAACCATCTCTCTAGCCTCATGTACATATATGTACATAATTTAAGTGTAATACATTTAAAGTGATAATTTCACAGATTTTATTTCCGTATTTTAGTCAAGTCTGCAGCTGAGTTCCTTGGTGAATACACATTGTCATTAATTCTCTGTGTATCAGTTTTACTATTTTGCTCGTTACTAAGTAGGGAAAAGAATGAGGATGTGGAACATGAGGGTCTTTTCCCAGGGAAGACAAAAATTCAGACTAGGAAGTTCCCAGTGGGACATAGCCAAAATTATCTACAAGGAACATTGAATTCCTTCTTTGATTAATTCCACAGAAATGTCCCTTCCTAGTGAATACAAACATATTCTAAAGGTTACTGAGGGTTTGAAAACATCAGGAAAATAGATCTGATTCCCTTGAAAAGGTTTTCAAGGTTTTAGTTATATTTACAGTGAACAAGTGTTTATAACCACAATAAATATGGTGCTCCTAATTTCCATCACTTAATCTGGAAATGCCACTTTAACTATTAATGTGTATTCCTTTTTATTTTATTTGTATTATCATTTTTATTTTATGTGTACGAGTGTATTGCCTGCATATATGTGAGTCCACCTGTGTTCTGCAATGTTGCAGAGGTCAGAAGAGAGCTTTGGATTCCCCTGGAACTGGAGTTAAGGATGGTTCGTAGCTGCCATGTGTGTCTGCTGGGAATTGATCCTGGGTCCTCTGCAAGAGCAGTCAGTGCTCTTGAATGCTGAGCCATCTCTCCAGTCCCTGTATTAGTTTTTAAATATTTATTTATTTTTTTAATTTATATGTATGAGTGTTTTGTTTGCATGTATCTAAGAATACCCATGCCATGCAATTTCCATGGAGGCCAGAAAAGAGTATCTGATGCCCTGGAGCTGGAGTTATAGACAGTCGTTAGCCACCACATGGGGGTGGAAGAGCGGTCAGTGCTTTTTTCCACTGAACCGTTTCTCCACCCCTGTATTTAGTTTCAAATGCACATAATAACATCATGAAACATGAGTTCACATGGGTTGTAAATTCTCAGGCTACTCCCATTTTATGCGGTTTTTAGTGTGTTTTAAAATGAAGAAAAGGGATTTCAAAATTGATAGTATTCAAAAAGTTCATTTAAAACAACACTTTTGACACAACATTTTAATGTGTGTATCTCATTTGTTGATCAAGTCAGAATACAAAATATAAATATAAAAATACATAGTCCTTCCCTAATTCCTAATTTCCTTCCTAACCACATGACAGGCTTTCTTTCACAGAAGATTTTTTTGGGGGGGTCTCTTTGAGACAGGGTGCCCCTGTAGCCCCAGCTGACCTGGATTCACTATGGAGACCAAGCTGGCCTCTGGCCTCAAACTCACAGAGACCCGCCTGCCTCTGCCTCTTGAGTGCTGGGATTAAAGGCATGTACCACCATGCCTGGCTTCATAGAAGATTCTTAATCAAGATGGAGCATCTATCATCTATCTATCTATCTATCTATCTATCTATCTATCTATCTATCTATCATCTATCATCTATCTATCTGTCTGTCTGTCTATCTATCTATCTATCTATCTATCTAATCATCTATCATCTATCTATCTAATCATCTGTCTCTATCTATCTATCTATCTATCTATCTATCTATCTATCTATCATCTATCTATCTATCATCTATCTTCTATCTATCATCTATCTATCTATCATCTATCATCTATCTATCTAATCATCTATCTCTATCATCTATCTATCTATCATCAATCATCTATCTATTTACTTTTTAAAAGATTGACGTCAACTCTTATTCCATTTTGTTTTCCAAAAACAACATCAGAGAGCTGGGTAGGACAGGAGTAACTAGTCTAGCACCTTAAAATCTTATGATTTTGCATCTCTAGGTTCCATAGTGAAATCAGCCATTTACTGACTTTTCACTCAATGATACTTGATTTCCTTCTGATCAAGAATTCTGAATTTCCTCAGCTTACTTAGAGAACCATGAACACAATTTGAGTTAAGTGAACAAACTAAATGTTTCTCTTCTTGGCAAAAAATACACTAAAAACCTCAGTCCTGAGACTGAAGAGATGGTTCAGCAGGTAAAAGCACTTGTTACTATTGCAAAGGAGTTCAGTACCTAGTACCCACATGGGTTGGCTTATAATCACCTCTAACTCTAGTTCCAGGATATTTGACACCCTCTCTGACATCCAAGGGCACCTGCATGCACACAGTGCATATACACACAAGTAGGCACACACACACACACACACACACACACACAAAGACTCAGTCCTCATTCTCATGATGTCTATCTTAAATATATATATATATTCAAATACATTTTAAAAATAAAGGTGTTACCACTGTGTATATAAAACACATTTTATTAGTATCATATACAATTCTTATGGAAAGGGTTTTCTAGGAAGGTTTTAAGGAAGCTAAGCTATTGGGAATCTGTAAAGAAAGGAAGGGAAGGAGGAATAAATGAAGTAAAGAAAAAGAATCGATTATGCTTAGTTCATCAAGGAAGGGACAGGACAAGTAAGAGATTGATATAAAACCTCATATGAGCTTAGGAAATATTGAGTCTTGAGAACAGATTGTTACTGGAATAAACATAATGTAAGACCTTGAAATTTTAAAGGTTTGGGGTTATTTGAATTTCTGGCTAAGTGGGGTGGGGTGGAGGGAAGAGAAATATTATTTCTCAATCGTATACATTTTTGACACTTTTTTCTAAGCACCATTGTGCACTTTCTTCTCTTCTTGTTTTATGACATAACATTTGTAAATATTAATGGAAGAGCTGTTTCCATAAAGCAAGTTAAGTGGGCCATTTGTAATCACTAACACATAGGTAAAGCCGCAGGATAAGAGACTTTTTTCTGAGCGCTAACTTGTCAAAGAAAGTAGGAAATTTGGTTTTTGAAGATTTAAAATCCTTGAGTAAACACTATGATAGTTCACCTTAAACTATTAATATTACTAATATATCCCAGTACGACAGCACTCAACATTTGGTGGTGTGCAGTACTAATCATTTGCTTGTGGTAAATTGTTTAAATATTTTTGTCAGACTTCTTTCAAATTCACCCCACATTTAATATAACATTTAAGTCCATAATTTGCATCATTGCATGCTGCAGTTTTAGAAGATTGTTTTAGAGGAAGACTAGGGCTTTGTTCATGATATTCCCAGAGATTCTAGATTTCTATATAAAAGGATGCAAATTCATTGGTAATGGTTTCCGCAGCAGAGGATGTTGTTTCCTAGGTGTTATTTCTCAAATGAAGAATATTTTGTGTCAAATTACAGTTTATGGTGAAGTATTGAGCAGAAGGCTAGTGCTGTGAGCAGTGTGTCTATGTTTACTATGATGGCATTTTAAGCAGGAAAGCAGCAAGACTAGATGCCATTGTTGGTATCTTTAATATGCTCTTGCTTGCAAGGCATTTATACACTATTCATTTGTCTGTGTTTTCAATAAACATGTAAAGTGTGTTTATTTGCAAAGTAAACATCCAGAAGCTGTACAGGTATATAAATCATATTAAACTCACATCACATTGGCAAAAAGCATATAA